CAGCAGTGCCATGTTGGACAATCTTCCTGTCCTCATAAAGGTCAATAACAGTATTGATTTTTGGACGTGTAGCAGTGTCAACCCTGCCTCTTTTCCTGTCTCTTATGTTCCTTAAACTGGTAATATGTTTTTTTCTATAGATATTTTTGGTCATATAATACTTTATATTGATATATAATAAGCTTAAAGCTTTAAAACAAAAACCATTTAATGTTATAAACTATTTATTATTTAGTATCGTTAACATGGAATATATATAAAGACATATTAACTATATACATTAAGATATAATGACTACTCAATTAAACATTTAAGACCGGACCTAACACTGGATGAAATTAAAGTGCAGATGTCAATCTTTCAGGCGCTTTACGAAAAGAAAAGGAGAAGAGAAGACCCTGAATATGCACAAAAGTTGAGGGACAGAGACCGCCTCAGACAACAAAAGAAGAGATAAGAACGGGGTGTTCCAAAAAGGATACCTGTCACCAACAGTGAAACGAGGCAAATACTGATGGTGGCTCCAAAATGATTTTACTATTAAAAAATATTAACTTATTTGTTATTTTTATTTGTTGGATATGCTGAACCAGAAGCAGAAGCGCTACTACTTCTTCTACTTGATGAGCTTGATGATGTAGGTATTGGTAAATCTGTTGGATGTGCTACCATGGGTGGATTGTGTGATGAACTGCTTGATGAAACATTTACTACTGAATGTGGTGGAGAACTATGGACACTCACTGCAGGTGAAGAATGCACGCTTATAACTTCCTCTTCATTATCATTGTAATTTTCCCCTGCTTGTGTCAAATAATCAATCGCTGACAATAAAGCACTGCCACCCATCATAGCTGTATTTCCTGCTACTTCTGCCAATCTAAAAACCCATCTTTAATTTCCCTCTATGCCTTTTGAAACATCAGCCTTCACTGTCACTGCTACTACTGCTAGGGTTTTCAATCATTTTTGTAAAAGCTTCTACCATCTTATCACTTCTTGATGGCTCAAAATCACTACTTGATGGCTCTAAACTTTTGAAGTTCTTTGAACTCATCTTCACAATATAGTTTCCTATTATCCGGTTTAATTTATCTACTGTTTCAGTCTCTTTGTCAAACGTAATTTTCTTATCGGTTTGCGTTTGTTTGTTCTCTATCTCTGGGAATTGTGTTGCCTCATCTTCAGATTCTATCTCATTACTTCGTTCTCTTCTTTCTGTTGGCTTATTTAAAAATAATGTAAGTATTCATCATCATCTATTATATGTATTTCTTCAGTCTATTGTGTACTAAAATCATGATTAATAATAATTAGATTCTATTCTTAATTATGCCATTTCACTTCCCCTTGCGCTGTGTCTGTTTCTGTATTCTTTAATTTTGCTTTTCAATAGTTCTGATTCAATTCTTCTTTGCCATACACCGGTTTGCATCATATCAACATCTACATAATATTGCTTTGTTGTTTTGCCTCCTCCTTTGCCTTTTGCTCTTGTTGGTAGTTCATTCTCTGGGTCATCTACATCAAAGCCTCTCAAAAACAATTGAAATTTCAATGCTTCTGCGCTCATAGTTCCTACATTTAATCTATAGCTAATGGTTCTTAATACTGCTTGTTTGGGTTCAGGGCTTCGCGTTCTTCTCTTGCTGTCATCATTTCTACTTCATCTTCTGCTCGTTGGTTGTCTTGTGTTAAATCAATTGCTAATTGTGGCACCGGTTGAGCCATTGGCGTTCCTACTCTGCTACTTGTTCTACTCAATCCACCAAATATCATATCAATAACAGGTGTGGCGCTCCTACTTAATAAACTTTGGTGTGCTTGTCCTTGTTGTTTTCTCTCCTGTGCCATTCTGGCTCTTTCTTGTAGTTGTGCTTGAATGGATGCATTATTAACGTTGTCATCTCTTGGCGTCTCTGCTTCTATTGGGGTTGTGTCTCTACTCTGTTGCCTCATCCTTTCAACATGAACTGTTCCACCTCCTAAATTGTGTCTCAATAATAGTTCTCTCATCTGTCTCTCTTGTATTCTGTTTTTTTGTTCCTTCAATACTTCAAATGCCATCAAAGAAGCTACCTTCAGGACTTGCTTTAAAAAATGTAGCCCTTCTGTCTGGAAGGCTTCCAGTTAATGTTTCATTTTCTCCTATCAACCCTGCTATTTCATCATATGTTGGTCGCCTCTTCAATTCATACTTTGAATAAGGATTTATCATTTCCAATGCCATAGTTGCCATATATTAATATGTTAGGTAAACATGTTAATATATTTATGCAAAAAAATAGGCCTTTAGGTTGCTTAATGCTGTGTTCTTTTGTGTTGTGCGGTAGGTTGTCTCTTTGGACTTCACCTCTCAACCTGTCCAGTTCATTTTGATACTTTGACCTAGCATTTGCTTGTATCATGTCCTTTCTTAATGCTACCATGCCCTCTCTTGCATTTCTTAACTTAAGTTCCTTGTGTAAATGCTCCAAATAACTTGTATCTCTCATATCAAATGGACTAAAAATTATTAAAAATTTGTGAAGATGTGCTTTAGTGCCTGTTTTGTTGTTGTGTTTATGATACTTAAACATTATTAATATATTTTGTTTTAGACAAATATATTAATAATGTAGACTTATTACTTTAATCGTATACCACAGACCCGCGTTCGCAAATTTCTAACACGCTTGCACTAATAAGGTGGGTAAAAACCTCTTGAATGTCTTCAGCATAAATTGCGTTAGTGCTATCACCGGGTGTAGTGTTTAGAGTTCCTTCAGTAGGGCGGATTTTCATAGTCATTAAACTACCCATTTTTGTGTTAACTCCAGTAAAGTTGACGTCAGCCATCTTTTCAAATGACATACCAATAATAAATGTGTTTTCTCTGTATTGCCTGTAACTGAAAATCAATGCATCTTGGTCCGGGTTCATGTAATGTATGGCTCCTCGCAAATAGTAGAAGGTTTCTGCATGATAATGATTGTGCCTCAAACTCTGGATACTTTTTTGTTGCCTAACTGGATTTGCCATTATAAGTTTCTACCATAGTCTTGGAAACCTTTGCCTTGGTCTTGAGGATTTGCTACTGCTCCATTGTCCCAGATGAATGAGTTAATTTGAGAATTGTAAAAGTAGTTCCATCGCTTATGAACATAGTTGTCTGGCAAATAGTTAGCATTGATAGTTCCATTTCCTGGTGTTCTGTATAAAGTACTGAATGCTCCTGTGAGTTTGAATGATGACTTAACAATGTTCATATCCAATTCACCGCCTCCTGTGTTGAAGGTTTGTGTTAGTGTGTGATACATAGGAAAGACCAGTTTTAGTGACTCACCGTCCAACAAATGTTTTACTATGTTGTTATTAACAGTGTTGTCTAAAGTCATTACTTCAGCTCTGATAATAACATTGTTTAATTCCCACTGTGTAGAAGTGTTAGCTGCTTGAAAGTAATACCCCTGTTTGTCAGTTTGAGTGTTCGGGCTTCCTACTGCGCCTCCTTGTGGTTCTACAATAGGTACCAATTCATCATTAACAATTGCGAATTCTAATTCCAAAGGCGCATACCTCAAAGGTAAATAATAATTTGATTGCATCAACCCACAAACAGGCTTATGGCTGAATCGGGCTTTACCATTAGCGCCGGAAATTCTTGTCAATGAGTGTCTTGTATACTGTATATTTTATCTATTCTACCCCATTCATTTTTATCACCGTCAGGGGATACAGTTACTACACCGGGGGTTGGAGTAACACCAGCAGTAGTAGCCTGCAATAATACATCCAAACCATTACTGTAGCATAGTCATGAAAGTCAGCGTCCCATCTTGGGTTAGCTGACATCTCTATGTCATCCATGTCTCTAACATACAACTCACAGTGTCTATTGTATTCAACAATATTTCGATCCATTTGACCTCCTACTATTGCTCTGTATCGTTGAATAAAGGCATGTAAGCCTCCTAATGGACGTAAGAAATGGTGTCTTGTTCGATCGTTATTTTGCAAAGTTGCAAACAACCTTACTGAACTCAAATCCAAATAGGTATTATCCTCTCCTGAAATGTAAAACCTAATGTTTTTCGCCCCCGCATTCGCATTAAATACGTTTGTGGTGCTACTAAAATAGTTTACAAATCGCCTGTTTGTAACATATTGTGAAGTTTCAGGTAATCCAAAGTTCAGGTAATCCAGGTCACCAGCTTAAAAACAGACATCAAACGAAGCGGTATCCATTTAGGAGAAAGGATTTCTATGTTTTTTTCCTTCAGGGAGAGCTTTGGTAAGGATGAGTCTGGTTCTATGTTGTCCTTTTTATCCAGGTTCTTTTACAAAACTTGTGGTTTTTTACTTTAACATTTCAAGGTAAAAAAATCACAAGTTTGCGTCTGTATGTACTTTTTGATGATGCATGGTTAAAAAAATATGAAGCATTGTTTTGCTTTGTGTGTGTCATGGTTTCGTGCAAATTACTTTTTTGTTAGGTCGATTTGCTTTGCTGGTCGTTTGTGGGAGTCTTATGGTTTTGCATGAAAAGTATGCTAAGGAGCCCTGGCGGCACATTGGTCTAAAAGTTCCCCACCACGGGGGGGGGGGTTAGCTTGATATATCAATCTTTAAGGCACGCAGCCCCTCCCACCACAACATTGCTAAAGCAAAGAAGAACTCAGCTAGCATGCTAGCTTTCGTGACAATCATCAAAAGAACTCCTTGAGCAATTTAAGTCCATCATGCAAAACAATCCCAAGTGTGGAACCTGTCCGCTAGTAGCACTGCGCTCCAAGGATTTGCGAAACACGGCCACCCACCATGTTGAGCAAGAGACAGATGGGCCAAACTGAATGCTCAAGCCTAAAAACTTCGAAACATTGTATATGACGATTGGCTTACACGTCTTGTACTTCCAAGGCTTGTGTAAACATACTGGTCCAAACGCCGGGCTGATCCGGGCTGAGCATACGAGTACGACACACACACTTTGAAGGATCCTTCCAGTTTGGTGAAGCGTGCCACTTCTCTGCAACAAGCTGGGTTGAACCAAATAGCTTCAGCAGGTTGTTGCTTGACCATACTCCGATTCCACTAGAATGGATTCTGCGTAATGCTTTCAGGCCTAGTAAGTATTTGGAGCACAGCATGTACAGGGCAAGTTTGCACAAGGCTCCTTCCAAAAGACATTGTCTAAAGCACTAAGGCCACAGAATTGAGTGTCACTCATCCTGACTCTCTCTCTCTCTCTCATGAATATGCCCCTTTTTGGTCCCACTTGCGGGTACAGCGGGCATGAGCCTGAAAGGACAATTCATGACACAAAGGCGTGCAACATGCAAAAATTCACTCTGCCCTGTGGATGTTTTAGCTTCTTTTCAGTCTGGCCTCCTTCAACTGGCGATTGAAGTCCAGAACCGTGCTTCTTGGCAGCTTGGAGACACGATCGTAGGTCACCAAGCCATTGACTTCTTCCTCGATGTCGTTCCACTGGGTATACACCTGTTGTCAAGTGATAGTGTTCATCCAGTTCATCGTGTTTTCTACTTTCACCTCCTTCCTTGAAAGAACAGCATTATTTTGCAGCTTCAAAATTTGTGCTATGCTTACCCAAGTGGAAATTCACAGCCATTTCTAGGCTCTTCCAACTAACTGACTCTGAAACATGGACGAGGAGCCACGGCAGACATCCAGTTTTCGCATAACAGTTCTTGCACACGTGCTCCCAGCTCCAGGAATCGCAGGCCAAACTCCTGCGCATGGCCAGTTGGTATGCCAGAGTATGTCAAGGTGTGTCGCTCCCGTGTTCCAAACTGCTTCAACTGGTTGGGCCGCGCGGTTGGGACATGATGCGCAACTACAAAGTGCCAAAGTGGACCTTCGGCGTTTCAGCCTGTACAGCATCGCATAGATATTCCCAGCAGTCCTCGGCGGTGAGACTCACATTCCTTAGCCGCGTGGAATGGTGCCAGTGAATAGCTATATTATATAGTCGTTTAATCAAAGTTCTTGCTCTATGGAGTGCAGTTGTTTCGTGAAAATGCTTCTCCGGAAACTTGTAGTATATTATGCTATATAATGTTATATATAATAAACGGATATATCACCACTACACTACCACTACAGTTGCCTGGCCCTGACCTGTTGTGCCAAAGTTCCCATAGGCCCAGGAAGTCTCTGGTGACCACTCGTGGCCCTAGCACGAAGTTGCAAGAAGTGCAGTCAGTTGGAGATGAATTAGAAGTGTCAGGGGTGGTATGCCATGGTATGCCATGGTATGCCTGTGTGCAGCTTGTGGCCTTGAAATCGCTGCTGCATTTGTCTATATACGCTATTCCTAACTGCTAGCAGCTTAGCACGTCAAACCATCAGAGCCGCATCTGTTTCGTCCCGTGCATCTTCCCCACGCCTCTAACGGAAAGCCAAGGCCGCCATATTCGCCTAGTGCCAAAGCACGACCCTGCATTGGCAAAGGCCACAATTGGAAGGTGCTCCGCCTCAGCTGCGTGTTCCCTCCTTCTTCGAATCTGAGGCAACTTGACTTGTCTTCCTGTTCTGGTTCTTCGATCTATCATTCTGCCAAGGTTCAGACCCTCGTACCTGAGCAGTAGCACTTGCATGCAGCTTAATAAAAACTAGACGACGAGTGGCCCGAATGCAGTTTTCATCACGTAGGAAGTCAGAATGTGAGTTATCTGTTAAGTGTTCAGTGTGAAGTGTTAAGTCGAATGAGTTGAGGTAGTGTGTGGGTCTCTGTGTATGTGTCTCTCTCTGTGTGTCTTTCTGACGCGCCGGAACACCCTTTTTCTGCAGGTTCTTGACCTCTCGCAAGTCACCTCCGCGTACTGGACTTGTACTACCAAGTCGCCAGTTCTCATCTTCCAGCTCCCCAGATACTCCGCGTACCAGAGTGGTACTACCAAGTCGCCAGTTCTTATCTTCCAGCTCCCCAGATACTCCGCGTACTCAAGTTGTACTACCAAGTCGCCAGTTCTCATCTTCCAGCTCGCCAGATACTCCGCCTACTAAAGTTGTGATCTTCCAGCTCGCCAGATACTCCGCCTACTAAAGTTGTACTACAAAGTCGCCAGTGCTCATCTTCCAGCTCCCCAGATACTCCGCGTACTAAAGTTGTACTACCAAGTCACCAGTTCTCATCTTCCAGCTCCCAAGGTACTCCGCGTACTATAGTTGTACTACAGTGTCGCCAGTTCTCATCTTCCACGTACTACAGTTGTACTACAAAGTCGCCAGTTCTCATCTTCCCGCTCCCCAGATACTCCGCGTACTAAAGTTGTACTACCAAGTCACCAGTTCTCATCTTCCAGTTCCCCAGCTACTCCGCGTACTAAAGTTGTACTACAAAGTCGCCAGTTCTCATCTTCCAGCTCCCCAGATACTCCGCGTACTAAAGTTGTACTACAAAGTCGCCAGTTCTCATCTTCCAGCTCCCCAGATACTCCGCCTACTAAAGTTGTACTACAAAGTCGCCAGTTCTCAGCTTCCAGCTCCACAGCTTGCTCCGCGCACTAGCAAGTCGCCAGTTCTCATCTTCCAGCTCCCCAGTCGCCAGTTGTCAGCTTCCAGCTCCACAGCTTGCTCCGCGCACCAAAGTTGTACTAGCAAGTCGCCAGTTCTCATCTTCCAGCTCCCCAGATACGCGCGCACGAGGGACAAGTCGCACTCTCGCCTGCGTTTCGCGCACGCACGATCTCCGCAGAGGGTTACGCGCACACCGGACAGATCGCACTCTCGCCTGCATTTCGCACACTCGACACGCACGATCTCCGCAGAGGGTTGCGCGCACACCGGACAGATCGCACTCTCGCATTTCGCGCACTCGACACACACGATCTCCGCAGAGGGTTGCGCAGGCACCGGACAAATCGCACTCTCGCATTTCGCGCACTCGACACGCACGATCTCCGCAGAGGGTTGCGCGGGCATGTGACAAATCGCACTCTCGCCTGCATTTCGCTCGACACGCACGATCTCCGCAGAGGGTTGCATTTTCGGTTGACGCTGTTCGTCCCACCCTCCGCCTTTAAGAGAGAATTTATAAAGTGGGGAAATGTTTTTCATTAGGACATCTCCCGTGCAAGTTTTTCCATACTCATACTTGCATCCTTGCACTGGGATTGCACTTACACTTGCATGCTTGCCCTTGGATGCTTTTTACCCTTACACTGGGATACGTATAGACGTGTCAGTGTTCAAGTGTCCGTGTGGAAGCGTAAGTGTTCAAGTGTAAGTGTAGAAATGTCAGTGTTCAAGTGCAAGTGTGGAAGTGTCAGTGTGTAAGTGTAAGTGTCGAAGTGTCAGTGTTCAAGGGATTTTCCGGAAGAACCCTTCGCAATGCTTTCGGGAAAAAATGAAACAACGCCTGAGAACCCCCAAATTCATTCGCATATTGCCAACGGCCCATTCGCCGAACCAAGGGGACGCTGCAACAAAGGGGACGCTGCGGACCAACTGCAGCCTTGGAAGAGATATGCCCCGTGAAACTGTACGACAATCAGAAAGCCCACTTTAGATGCAACTGATCGAAGTTCTCCCCCCTCCGTGGAGTCAGCGCGTCACAGGGCTGCCCACCCATTCTGTAGCTTTGGTGCGGCAGGTTTTCGTAGTTGTGAGCATCTACCAAATCACCAGCATCCATGCCGGGAAATAGATCAGCCACATCATTCCAGCCACTGGCCATGTTGATCCAACCTATCTACAGGCATTAATAAGCCACATGAAAGACGCACAAAATAATTCAAGTATGTCAAGTAGCGTCCAAAATCCGAAATACGGCTTGGATGGACCTGGTTGTTGTGGATCAAGGAGGCCCCTCCTGTTTCAGTTGCTCCCGAGAGATGCTGCAGGAAGCTGACCCCGCCATCAACTTGGATGGGAACTGTTGAACAAACAGCCAAATCGTCCGATAATTAAATCTGAGAAGCGATTCCCACCGAATTGCCGAAGCCACTGCACCACTTGCATCGTTTGGAATTGCCCCCAGGCTTCATTGAAAGGAACCCAGCCTCAGTTGCAGCCTCACAACGATATAGTCCTCAAGCCACGCACGAAAACTGCCTCTTAGGTTGGAGGCCATCGCTACTAGTAATCCCTTGATGCATTCTGGGTATCATATCACTGCCCGAGCAGCAAACAATGGATCCGAAGCTGCGAAGCCATGAGATCATGGCTTCAAGCTCCTGATTGGGAGAGAATCCCAGAATGTCCGGCACCTATCACCTTGGGACCTTGTGTGAAGCCTCATCCAATCATTTATATATATATATTATACATTTACTATAATGCAGGATAGTTTAGTGTTTCAGGTGGGTCCGAGTCTCAAGTTACGCATTGTGCCTGAGACTCAACCTGACTCAACCTCTTCATCCCGTGCCTTCCAAAAATTGGAAGCAGACTCGGGAAAGCGTTGAATCTCATCCATCTCCAAAGGGCTCACTGTGCCGGTCCTCATTCTTGGCACTGTCAAACTTTGGTCACTCCCCTAAACCAAGTGCTTGAGTCAGCTGCCGCATCTGCACCCCAAGTACTTGAGAGTCAGCTTGGGGCTGGTTGAGACCAAGGCTCTGCTCGAAGGTGCCCCGTGCCGAATCCCATAACGGCAATGCCCGGCCATCCCCAGCAGGGAAATCTTGCCACACCAGGAGGCCCTGGCCCAAACCGCACAGGTTGTGACACTTGTAAGGCGACAAGTCCAACTGTGTGACCACCAAGTCGCCAATACGCACGTCAGGTGAAAGTGAAATATTTCTAGGTGATATGCTCAATCAGCTAGTGCCCTCATGGGGGGAAGCTAGCATGTCCCGAACGTCCTTCCAAAAAGTTGGATGGCCCCTGGGTGCCCTGGAAATCAAGAAGACCGTTGTCGTTTCTACAGTCCTCAGTTCTCGGGCCCCGGGGCTGCAGTCCCAAGATTACCCCACCTCTTGATCACAAAAGTGATAGAAGATCGCCGGTAAGACCTCAAGCTCATGGAAGGCCCAAGTGAGCTTGCATCGCTACTAGGAGCAACAATGGGTCTTCTGGAGCCCTAAGTCCAGCCAGGCCGCGGTGGCGTGGACCCGAACTAGGTTGAAGCCCATAGCCTTGATCTCCCGGAGCTCCTCCAAGGCCTTACCCAGCGATGCAGAAGGAGGCCCCGAGCGGAACATCGGGAGAGGGAGAGAGGGAGAGGAAATTAGCTATGCCCTTCGTAGCTCCTTGCTACTAGTAGTAATGCCAGGAGCTACTAGTAGCTTCTTATTAGGTATACATATATATATATCAACATATATATATACTAGTAAAATGTCTGGTTACCATGATGTTACCACGACTGGTTGTCTAAGTCTAGTGAGCGTATGAAGATGTATGAAGCATGCATGCATGCATGCATGCATGCGTGTGTGTGTGTGTGTAACCACTGTTGCCTGCGTACTTCCACAAGGCACCGCATCTGCCGATTCAGAAGCATTCAGAAGCAACCCCTTACCTCCCACCAGGTCCTTCCGGTCACGGTTGCCTAAATGGCTGGCATCAGCACAAGTGACCGAGGTGCCAGTGGGCCCGGGAGGGCGATCAATGATTCAGGCCAGTAGCCCTGGTAAAGCACCTGGGTTTTGTACGGGATCAACAGGGTTCGAAGAATGGAACAGAACGGGGAAGAAAGCCAAAATCATAATTCTTATTCATTCCTTTCTTTTCTCTTGGCATGCAGTTGCCTTGGTGGTCACATGTTGTCAGTCAATATCAGTTACTGTTCTTGCTGCTAATGCATTCTGATACATGCTGGTACATTGATGGTGGTTGACCAACATTACTTCATGATGGATGGCCATTCTTCGTTTTAAAAAAAACATGGAAATTGTGTGGATCTTTCGCGAAGCATTGTCTTATATACAACCTTGTCTGGTGACTGACTGACTGACTGACTGACTGCGAGAAGGCCATGCCATTTTGCTAGGACAACCTGCTAGCAGTACAAATTCAGCCTTGAGCTCTAAAGCTCTGCAATGGTGCTGCGCCACTGGGGGAAGAACACCACTCTTTTTCGCAATGGCACTCCTCTACCATCTGAAAATCCTACGAGGGAACCTGTGCCATCCTCCTTTGGAGCAGGCTGCACAGTAATTGGACTGCTGTCCTAGGCTGGTGGAGTCATCCCATCATCACCCAACTTAGACGCACGTGGCTTCCAAGTGTCCCCAAATGTTTGTTACTAGACTCACCCAGCTCGCCGCAAATGTGGCTCACCTCTTTAAGGCTGCCTTTAAATCTGCCTGTTTGATGACCCGCTCCTCAGCGCGATCCCCAAACAGTGCCTGCAAGCGGGTCAGGGCAGCTTTCGCGGCCTCTGCACCTGATTCGTAACGCTCTCGGTGCCACCCTTCCGACAAAAAGGCCCTCTGCCCTTTGCCGAAGTCCACTTCGAAGGTGCAGTGCCAAAGCCTTCCCCCCCCCTGAAGCTACCTCCTGGCGAGGCGTCTTAATACGCACTCCAGGTTGAACCCGGGAGCTGGCCCATCCCATGACCTTTTGCCAGGCATCCTGCTCATGAACCAAATCCCAGGTCACAATATCACTAAACGCAAAACATTCCGTCGAAAATAATGTGAGCTTCTCAAAATGTTCCGACTTCTTCGTCCCCTTCATCTCCACATTGTGTACGACTACCGTCTTGTGCCCGTTGAAGTACAGCTTTCTCAAGACATCTGTGAAATCCTTGTCCGAGGTGATCAGGATAAATGCGGTCTCCGCTGGAGGTGTTCCCGACTTCTGCATGGCCGTCAGGTCCTTCTCGATCCGCGACTTGATCAAGTGATCTGCCGCTTCCGCCTTGTCACTGCAGTGAACCACCGTGATGCCAAAATCATTCAAATCGCGCACCATCCTTAGCTTTCGAGAAACCTAGCCACAGTAGACTGTCACAGGAGCTCTGTTCAAACGAGTCTAAGAAGCTGAGACAAGCCGACCCCTTGCTCAGGAGCCAAGCACAAAACACACATGCAATACGACGTCGTACAGTTACAACAACCTGGCAAAGCATGGCAAAGCATGGCAAAGCATCGTCTGTCTGTCCGCATAGTAGTGCAAAGGCGCCACGGCCCACATGTCCACATTACCACTCAACATGTAATTGTCTTTCAAGAAGGTCACCAAGGTCCGAATCATCCTGGAGCTCTCTCCCTCCATGACCTCGCCACCAATGTTCTGGATGTCCCAGAACAAACGCACCTCCTTCACACTCCCCCAGCAGCGCTGGCGCATGATGGTGGAAAACTCATGAAGCTCCGTGTGCTGAAGCAGTCGATCAAGAATTATCTTCGCATCGACGTTGTCAGATGCCTCGTGCTGCAAGATCTCAGCGAGGTCATCGACGGAAATGCCAAGGGATCCGCCAAGATACTCTTCCAAGCGGCTCTCCAATGAGCTCAAGAACTTCTGGTGGACCTAACAACAGGTTAGTAGGCACTTGAACCCTTCAGTGACAGAATGAGCCCACGTCCTGACCAACCGCTAGTGTCCACTAGTGCTAGGTAGCAACAACAAGGCCCCCCACCTGGAAGTGCCCCTCAGAATACTCGTGGTGAATGTGGTGAGCAAAGAGGTTGGACTCAGCCTTGCTAAGAACGGCCAGTGACTCTTGCAAAATACTGTCAAGCTTGGCCATCAAAAATCCTGTCATCAACCGTCCCCAGGCATTCTTTTGTGGTGCGACTCCCGGAGAATCCCCCTTCACAGCAGGCGTCACATCCTCGAGCTCTGGTATCGATGGAGGCTTCTCCAAAGATTGAGGGTCTGGCATCAAGGCCGGTTCAGAGGTTAAGGAGGGAGGATCTGGGCTCACAACTTGTGGGGCTTCTGGAGCAGTTGGTCTCACTACTTCTGGCGCCTCAGGCGGGACAGGGCCAACAACTTCTGGTGCATCTGGACGAATTTCATCGCTAGCATTCTTGGTTTCGCCAAGTTTTGGTGCTTCTGCAACTTCTTCAGGTCCTGGTGAGCTGCCTGTATCAGGGTGAACGGAGCCAGACTTCTTCGCAAACTTGCCGCCAGCACATCCCATCGCCACGTCCCAGATGGGAGTGGGCGGCTGAGGGTTTTGCTAAACACCCCTCTTGAAAATTTGATGGGCAAGTGATACGGTGAGTGCGGATCACTCCAAATTACCGTACAAGCAGTAGGTGACAAAAAATTGCACAAAAGAGGGGGGGGCCTCTCTCATCACTTCATGACACTAGGGATGCGCAAGGGTATCATGGGTGCTCCAGCAATTTTCCATGCCCGGCATTCTTTTGCATTCGGTGTTATGTGCGTCCATTGACTTCACATGATTCCAGGGAGCCAAACGGCTACGATTGACATAAACTCTAGACTCTAGTCCTCAAAGCGTCAAAGCGGAGGCTGCATCCGTATACGCCGTACACGCTGCCGTATACATTTGTCTTGCTTTAGGATGCTTCGCCGTCGTCCTTTCAAGCTGCCTTATCAGCCCGCCATGCATGCCACATAACAATATAATATAACCGGATTCCAATCGCAGTGCAGGCACACCACTTTGGAAAACGGGCTCCCCATTGAGAAGCAACGTCACTTCCTCCTGCCAGCCGTCTGGTTGCATGGGACGGCCAGCTTTGACAATAAAAACGATAAAGTAGGGGGCTGACATTGCATCTCACTCATTACCAGTCCTCATACCTTCCCACCTTCAGCTTAAACAATCTTGACCATCAGTGCCCCGTTGGCAGAAACCAAAATGCGGCTAAACCAAAACCAAAGCACTTAAAGCACTAGTCACAAATTGACCAGCGGTAGCCATCCTATGTTCTATTCCAACACAGAAACAACGTCAAGCTTGTCCTTGGGTCCATGGCTCTCTGACTTGGACAGCCATCGCAATGCAAAGTGGAAGGTCACCCGGTCGCAGGTCGAGTCACAGAGTGCCAGTTGCGCAGTGTACATCCTTGGCCGGCTGCGATGGAGGACACAAAAGGTGGTGACTCGGAGTGGCACATCCGAAGCCCAGCTGCCCTTCCATCTCTAGGAGAAAAAACGCTACTAGGGGCTCCTGGCATCGCTACTAGGAGCAAGGACGTTATTAGATACCAAATCATTAGTGCCAGCGGTTCTTCAAGGAAGCTGCCCTTCCATCCTTTCCCTTTCCGTTTTTTTACAGTGGCACCTGTAGCTGCCCAGGCTCGTGGGACGATCTGGGCTCCAAAGCTCCGGCAATGGAGGCAGATCCACCACTTGAGCACCCGCACTGCTACTCTCTTCAACCAAGGTCTGACCTGCTGCTCTCCAAGTCTTGCTGCCAAAATCCACAACCCATATCAAATGTCATTCCTTCCCTGTGTGCAAAAGGATGACAATGCGGGGTTGACAGGTGCCTCGCAACAGCACTGAAGCGGTCAGCTTGGCATTGAGCTCACAACCCGGTGCCACCTGCACCTGGTGCGTCTGAGACAAGAAAGAGGATACGAATCCGCGCAAGACACGTAGAGATGGCCAGCTAATTACTGCAAGGCCCATCTTTCCTTTTACACTGGTTCCTTTTGCGGCAATCGCTTGACCCGAAATTTACCTGAGAAGGGAAGGGGTGAAAGCCAGCCACCGTAAAAGATATCAATATGGTTACAGGGTGTCCATGCGAGAGCCCTAGTGAGTTCCCCACCTCTTTTCCTATTCTGATACAGTCACGTGCCTGAGTGACCGCCCTCAAAACGCAAGGAACAAGGCACAGCAAATGCTCGGACGCATGGCCTTTTACGCAAAGGGAAACGGCTCTTGGTACCTGTACGGCAGCGGCGGAAGGGAACGACCTGACGAACCAAGGCATGCATGACCAACTTTCTGTTTGGTTCGTCATGCTTCCGCAGTTGAATTCGTGGAAACTGCAGCCAACTCAAAAGTGTCTCTTGCAAGGCACGGCTGATCTTCGTCAAGCAATCACTCATCTGGAGTGTGGTGGGTACCCAGTGTACCGTCCTTGCATCAATCACTTCCTGAATGCTGCGGATGTTCACGAGTGAACGACGATCTTCACAGTTCGGATTCGGTGCCGAGATGCAATCGTAAAGTGATTTGCAATCGGTCACCAACAGCATTCGGAGCACTTTGCCCACTCTATGGGCTGGAGTCTGAAAAACAAGTTCGGCCAGGCTGTACTGAGCAAAAACCAGTCGGTCTGAACAGCTGTCTGCGGCTACACTTTCTGCCGCAAGAGTGCTGCGACAAACACGTCGGCTTCTGGAACTTTTCCAGTCAACTAAGGCTCCAACGGAAGTCTTCTCGCTGACCGAAGGTGGTGCCAAAAGGATTAAAGTTCCATGTTGACTCGCCGAATTCTTGGCGTTTGCCCATGAACTGTCGCTGAACCCGACGAGCGTTGTGCTCTCGTCGATGGGTACTCCATAAATCTTCAAACCCTTGTCTCTAGTGCTCTTAACGTAGAGCAAGGTGTCATTCAGCAACTCTAGCTCAGCACCTGTGGTTTCAGCACCTTTGTTTGACAAAGACACAGCGCTGGCGATATCAACCCTTGACTGACCAGCAAGCCATTGAAGGCATCCGCTGATGGATCTGTACTCTGGCCATTGGTGCTCTTCCAAAACTTTGCTCCCATCTGCTTTCTTCACAGGAATGCCTCGTTCTAGAGCATCGATGAAGCTCTTCTGAGTGATGCTCAAAATGGTTTCACCACTGGCATCCACTGAGATTTCCAACTCTTTACCCTTAAAGGTCACAGGACTACCGGGGTTCACATACCCTTGGGGTCCCCAGGTGAAGGCCTCTACGAACCGCTGAAAGGGGAAGCTGGGATCATGCGTCAAAAGAAAGTCATCCACGTAAACTACCAAAACAGCACAAGTAAAACCTGAAGCATTCACAAAATAAAACATCATGCGATCAAACGAGTGCACGCGAAATCCCAAAGCAACCAGGCGGCGTTCGACCTCAGCTGTCCACGTATATGGGGCATTTGCCAATCCATACACGTTGCCAGTGATCTCATACAGGGCACTCTGGCCAGCTCTCTTGACGATCTCGTCAGACGGCGGCCGCGTGAAAATCTTGCCCTCACGTTCTTCCATGTTCTGCTGGCCCTGAAGGAACGCTGTGGAGACGTCCCCGGTCCAGAGCTTCCAAACGGTCTGGGTCTTGAAAGCTTTTCCATTAGCACCTGAAACGTAGATGGTTCCGAAAGACGAGACGGAGTAGGGGCATTCCTGGTGATGCTGCGAAGATCTGGGTCTTGGTTGCCGCGTATGACCACGCGACATTTTGCACGCAAAGGTGCAACACCCTTGGGTTTGTCCCGGTACACCGCCCTTGAGCTCATGGCTCGACGGCGCAACTTTGGGTCAGCCAGGATGCGCTTTGCCTCTGCTGGTGGAATTGGCCTCAGGCTCTTCCATGTCTGGAAGCTTGTTGCTTCTTTCCGGGCGGCGTCCACGAAGGCTTCGATATAGTCAGGAGACTGTTTCATGATGTCGCTGCACTGCAACTCTTTCTCTATGGCCTTTTGCTCTTGCCTCGTGAGCGTCATACCCTTGGAAAACTTGGGGCCTCCGCTGGTCATATCTTCTTCGTCTGTGCTGGAATCGCTCAATGAACTATTGAAATCTCCAACACCTTTCGCAAGATCGGTGACATAGATCTTGTAGAAGATGTTCTTGCCAGTGAAGGGGTTCTCAAAGCTGCCATCCCAACCTTCTGAAACCTCCTCCAAGCTATCATCATAGCCCAGGAAAGAAGTGGTGAGCGCAGCTGACTTACCTGAATGCCAAAGTTCGGTCACGGTGTTCAAGGGCTCCTTGAAGTGGTGTGACTCATCTTCCTCCAGCTCTGGTTGAACTGGCCCTTCAAAGAGAAGTTCACCGGTGACCGCATCTAAAGTTCTCCTCCAAAGAACTGTTGACATAGCTGGACCTGATGCCAAGGAGAGGCTCGGCTTCGATGTCAAAAGGTCCAGTCTTGCCCAACAATGTAGGTCAGGAAATGGTTCACCGAAGGCGCTCTCATAGTTGTAGAGCTCGTATGTTCGGTTGTCTACTTTTCTGGCTTGGATGAAGTCAGCTTGCAAAGCCTCAAACGGCTTCTTTGAAGGTCTTGGTCTGATGCGTCACTTGGACGCTTGCTTGGACTGTGAGATGGAGGTTTTGGTCTTGACTCCAACTCTCTTTCCTTGAGATCAGGCGGCGTCTGAGGGATCATTTGTTCTAAGGCCTGGGGCGGTGACTCCGCCGTCAGGTCTACAACCTCCGGAACTGGAGATGAATGCTGTGGATCTTGATTGTGTTCTTGTAGAACCAGTTGCGCAGAATCTTGAGGAACTCCGGCGGGTTGTGATTCATGAGGTGGAGCTTGTTCTTCCTGAAGTATTCTGTCTTGGAGCTGGTATGGATCCCTTGACGCCGCTGCATCTTTGTCCCTCTCATCGAATGCGTCCTCCAAGGGAGCTCTGGAGGCTTGGCATGACCTTCTGGAAGTGGGTGTTCTGGATCTGTGTGATCCATGTCGTCTGGCTGGTGTGAATGGCGCTGGCATTGAACCAGCTGGCGCAAAGACATTCTGGGTTTGTCGAATGTCCTGTCGAATGTGCACTGCCATTGGACTTGACGGTGCGGGTGCTTCTGGTGTGTCGTTCTTGGGTTCGGTATTGTTTGTCTGTTCTGCTGTATCTGGGGCTGCCGGCATGATGAGTTCAGGGAACTCTGCATCTTGGAACTCAAGCTCTGCTGCTTCGGCTGGTGGGATGTCAACCTCTTCTGGAACGAAGTCATCTTGAATTTGATCACTTCGAATGTTCTCCTCGGCAAGTTTCAATGCATCCACATCCTGCCGTGTAGGGATGTACTGCTCGTAGCCGAACACATTGCGAATCTGGTTTCGTGCTACACGCAAGGTCTGACTCCCACTTTGCACCCAGTAGTTGCGACCATCAGGATCTCGTCCGAGAAATCTGGCTATTCTGTATCCGCCCCGTTTGCGATGTGAGCGAACAGTCCATCTCCAATATGCCAGAAGTGATCCCGGAGTAGGCTCATAGTCGTCAACTTCATTGGTCTTCCTCAACAAGGCTCTCCTCAAAGTAGAAGATGCTGACGCTTCTGCCAGGGTCTTCAAAGCTTCTGCTCTCATCAAAGCTGCTTGTTGTTGTGTCTCAGCCATAGTGGAACCTGAAATCAATGCTCTTGGATCACTCAAAAGATCAGTGCCAAAGCGAGGGATCCTCCCGAAGGCAGCTATATAGGGAGGCCTTCCTGAAGACCAAGTAGCCGAGTTCTTGGCCTGAGTGGCAGCAATCAATGCGTTGTCTATGTCCTCTCGACATGTGCAGGGTGTAGAGTCCACAATTCTTTCCAAAAGCATTCTCAAGGTGCCGTTGTGTCGTTCTATTGTCCCCAGCTGGTGATGTGCTTCTGGGGCAATCACATTGAGGTGTGTACCACCTTCTGTCATCTTGTCGTCAAACTCAGCCTTAAAGGCTCCGTCATCATCCACTGATAGCCGCATTGGAAATCCGAAGTGCTGCAGCCAGGCTGTCCTGAAAGATTCGTAGACATCTCTGGGTCTCCTGGATGGCAGTCGAATGGCTGTGTGGAGATGGGTAGCTTCACAGATGATGCCGAGAATTGGGTAGTTCTCAGTGGTCATGTCGCGGAGGTAAAAGATGTCAGCCTGAACGTTGTCAGCGAATTGTCCCAGGTATTGTGGTGTCGAAGTTGCAGGATTGGGCCGATGAAGTCCTTTTGCTCGCTGACATGCTGAACATCTCATGGCCTTGATGCATTTGATCACCTGGTCACTTGTAATGCCATTGAGCGCCAACAGCTTGATCATCTCATTTGGTGGCAGGTGACCCATGTTCTTGTGCGTTCGGGAAGTTGCCATTTTGATGGACTTGTCAACGCCACTGGTGTTTGGAAAGGTGATCTCTTCATGAAAGATCTCTCTGGTTGGATTGGGCTCTGCAAATTCCTTCTCCATCTGCCTCTGTTCTGCTTCTTCTCCAGGGATGCCGATGTTCTCATCGATCATGTCCGGGTAGCCGTAGAAGAAGAGAGCAAGCTCAACAGGTCTTCGAAAACAGCTCCTTGGAAAATGAACATCGCTGAGGTCCTCGGTTTGGACTTCTGCATCCTCTTTTCCGACATATTGCAAAACAGATCCTCGATGAGTGTGAGGAACAAATGAAGGATGTCGATGAACCAATGGCTGTTTGGCAACCTGCACCCTTGTCAGATGCCATGGAAACAACTGCTGGACCTGCTTGTAGAGGTCATCATCTGGTCCCAGGACGTAGTTCTTGGTGGCAGTCTGTTCCATGAGAGTGGATGCGTTTTGCATCAAGGTGTTCCACTGTTGTTGATTTCCTTGTGGAAGAGTATAGTTCGCCAACACTTTCTTTGGAAGGAATCGAGCTGGATTCATTTGTCTAGCGACAT